GCTTTCCTGGCTAAGGCAAGACTAGAACTCCCAGCCTCCTAGCGATTGGCCCAAAGTCACCCGGCCAGTTTTGATGCTTGGAATGGAACTAGAATTCCCAACCTCCTAGTGATTGGCCCAGAGTCACCCGGCCGGCTTTCCTGGCTAAGGCAAGACTAGAACTCCCAGCCTCCTAGCGATTGGCCCAAAGTCACCTGGCCAGTTTTGATGCTTAGAATGGAACTAGAACTCCCAACCTCCTAGCGATTGGCCCAGAGTCACCCAGCTGGCTTTCCTGGCTAAGGCTGAACTAGAACTCCCAGCCTCCTAGCGATTGGCCCAGAGTCACCCAGCTGGCTTTCCTGGCTAAGGCAAGACTAGAACTCCCAGCCTCCTAGCGATTGGCCCAAAGTCACCTGGCCAGTTTTGATGCTTAGAATGGAACTAGAACTCCCAACCTCCTAGCGATTGGCCCAGAGTCACCCAGCTGGCTTTCCTGGCTAAGGCAAGACTAGAGCTCCCAGCCTCCTAGCGATTGGCCCAAAGTCACCCGGCCAGTTTTGATGCTAAGGCTGAACTAGAACTCCCAGCCTCCTAGCGATTGGCCCAGAGTCACCCGGCCAGCTTTCCTGGCTAAGGCTGAACTAGAACTCCCAGCCTCCCAGCTCCTAGCCTGGTGCCTTCACCCCTGCTCTGAGAGTGGCATTCTGGGGCTCCCCCCCCCTAGAAAGCCCCTCTCTATAAGACGGGGTCCTCTACTCCGGACAAGAGACCCTCCACCCCTTCAAGCCACGGTGGCCACAGAGCCTCTGGCTACGGACTGAGCTTCCCCCAATGGAAGCAGGCAGCCTGTCCAGGCGCCGTGGGTGCCGGGTGCTCAGCGGTTCTCCCAGCCACCCCCCCACCCCACCCCCCAGGGTCCCGGGGCTCACGGCTGCCTCGAAGGCCCTCTTCAGGCTGGCCAGTTCATAGAGGACGCAGCCCAGGGCCCAGATGTCGCTCTTCTGGTTGTAGGGCTTCCCTTCGCACAGCTCCGGGGAGATGTAGCACGGGGTGCCCACCACCTGAGGAAAGAGGAACGCCCGTCAGCAAATCCAGACCCCCAGAACCCCACCCTGCCCCGGCTCAGCCAAAGACAGGGAGTCCTCCACTTACGACCACCACTGAGCCCCAAATTTCCGTGGCTAAGTGAGAAAATCATTCAGTGAGTTTCGCCCCCATGAACTTCCTTGCCACCGTTGCTAAGTGAATCATTGCCGTTGCTAACCTAGCACAGTCGTTGAGTGAATCCAGCTTCTCCCATGGACTTTGCAAAAGGGGAATCACGTGACCCCGGGACACTGCGACCGTCATAAATACGAGCCAGTTGCCAAGCACCTGGATTTTGACCCTGGCGACGCTGCAACGGTCGTAAGTGTGAAAAACGGCCCCAAGTCACTTTTTTCAGTGCCGTCGTAACTTTGAACGGTCACGAAAGAGTTGTAAGTCAAGGACTCCTGGTAGAACAAACAGAGAGCTAAGCCCAGGGGAGGGGGGGGGCTGCCTGAGACCCCTCCCCAAAGAGGCAAGGACCAGGGCAGACCCCGCCCTCCTTCCCGCCACTCTGGATGAGGCGGTGGGAGAACGTCCTCCGGCACGCAGTGCGAAATAACTCGAAGATCCGTCATGTTCCTACTACAGGAAGTCCTCGACTCACAGCGGTTCATTCAGCGACCGTCCCGAGTCACAACGGCACTGAAAAAAGCGACTTGTGGTCATTTTACACACTTCCGACGGCTGCGGCCTCCCCCCACGGCCGCGTGATCCAAATTCAGACGCTTGGCCCCTGACTCGTGTTGGTGACGGTCGCGGGATCCCCCTTTTACGACCTTCTGATGAGTCAACTCACAGAGGGAAGCCGGGTCCGCTTAACAACGTTAAGGCACAAAATGGGGCAAAACCCCCTGAACAACCATCTCGCTTAGTGACGGAAGCACTGGGTTCAACCTTTGGTTGTAAGTCAAGGACTCCTGGTAGAACAAACAGAGAGCTAAGCCCAGGGGAGGGGGGGGGGCTGCCTGAGACCCCTCCCCAAAGAGGCAAGGACCAGGGCAGACCCCGCCCTCCTTCCCGCCACTCTGGATGAGGCGGTGGGAGAACGTCCTCCGGCACGCAGTGCGAAAGAGCTCAAAAGATCCGTCATATTCCTACTACAGGAAGTCCTCGACTCACAGCGGTTCATTCAGCGACCGTCCCGAGTCACAACGGCACTGAAAAAA